CGAAACAGGACGACTTTCGTCTGGAAGAGAACACTCTACAAGATCATCGGATGCGGCAACATTGAGTCGCGATGGCCACCAAGATACCGACGATGCTGTACCCGATATTGGCGAGGCTATCGTCGAAATGCAAGGAGTACGCATAGCTTACGGCCAGAACTCCGTCTTGGGCGGTTGGCAACAGGAAGTCGACGGGTCATCACAATTCGGGCTGCACTGGAACGTCCATCGGAATCAACGCTGGGGTATATTGTAAGTATCCATGTACGAAACACGTGTGAGGCATATATTAACATCGTATTCCTACATCTAGCGGTGCCAACGGCTCTGGCAAGACTACGCTTCTTTCGCTCGTAACATCAGACCATCCGCAGACCTACTCGGCTCCTGTCCAACTCTTCCAACGCTCGCGCTTGCCCGAACCCGGTGTCCCAGGTATCACTATATTCGAAATCCAGTCACGAATGGGCCATGCGAGTCCGGAAGTCCATGCCCTGTTTCCGAAGAGACTTAGAGTGAGGACGGTTTTGGAAAGTGCATGGGCGGATACACCAATTACAAAGCCAAGACTAGATGATGAAGCGAGGAAGAGAGTCGAAGCTTGCTTGAGATGGTTTGAATCCGAACTTAGGCCTGGCTTCAGTGGTGACGGAAGTGTGAGTCTGGAGTGGGCATCTGACACTCTATTCGGTGAGGTATCGTTCTCCGCTCAACGTGTACTCCTCTTCTTGCGCTCCACGATCCGAAATCCCGACATCGTTATCCTCGATGAGGCGTTCAGTGGCATGGACGACCTCGTTCGCGACAAGTGTCTTCTGTTCCTTAGTCACGGCCAGGGTATGGAGCTTGTATTCTCTGACAGTGGCTTGAAACCGGTGAAATGGGAAGGTGAGGTTGTGGTTCCAGGATTGCAAGAACATCAGGCCCTACTGTGTGTCAGTCATAGTAAGCATGAAGTACCTGGGTGTATACGAGAGTGGGTTTGCCTGCCTGAACCAGGCACAGGCCCACCAAGGTTTGGCCGATTTGATGGGCCTGTGGAGCTGGATGCAGGACGATGGAGCGAAGTGTGGAATGAAAAGCACTAGATCTTAACATCATCGTATTCGATCAAAGCATATATACTATCTACTGTTGGTCCTCCTTCACGACTTCCTTCCTCTTCTCTCCAAGCTTATCCGAGCGCTCCAAAATCTCACCAGCCAGCCTCTCCAAATAAAACTTGGAGACGTCGACTGGTAGATCCTTGAATGCTCTGACAATCTTCTCCACATCTCTTCTGCCATTCTCATATGCCTGCAGGTCCCTGTTACCATATACATCTTTTCCAGCCGCGTATCCTTTTTCCAAGCCCTTCCAGAACACATTGACTGCCACGCTCACGCCATCTTCCGGCGTAGCTGTATGACTCCACATGGGTGGTATGAATAAGACATCACCAGGCTTGAGGGAAGCAATGTGCGGATGAGTGCGCCGAAGCCTTTGGTCTTTGGACGTCAGGACATCAATATTGGAAGATGAGCCCCCGGGAGGGAAGCCTAATAGAGAAACATCGGTAGGTGGGTAGAGGAATAGCGTTTTTGAACCGCGTACTTGACACAGGATGTTGGATAGAACATCGTAGTGTAGCCATAAGGTCACGGGCCCTGAGATGCGAAGGGGCGAGCTGTGGTAGTTTTCCTTGACTAGATTGCACACTTCTGGTACGCGGAAGTCGTCGGATATAGTCGGAAAGTCATCTTCAAGTTTGGTAGGCAGCTTGTTTGGCTGACTTGACGATACAGCACGGAGATATTCATGAGACCCTTCTGCAATACCGTCTAGGAAATCTGCCACTGATTTCTTGACGTATGAGAAATTTCTGTCCTTGAACGTCATACGATCTGATGTGCATTCATGGATGACGAGGTCTCTTTTGGGGCCAAGCTTTGCTTTCAGGTAGTCGAGTGTCCATAGGTCTGTGCACGGGCCGATATCGAGGCCTTCGATGATGGCCGGTTTTGACGTAGCCGCCAGCTTCGCAAAGTCATCTGACGATTGAATCTGCACCCTTGCGATCTCGGTAGTACGTGCAGTAGGAGTAGGTCTCTTCTCCACACCACCCTTCTGTCGCCGACCTTTGGGTCCCGTTTCTGTCGTGTTCGCTTGTGCTGTGCCTGCTGTGCCTTCTGTGCCTGCTGTGCCTCCTGTGCCTGCTGTGCCGCTGATCTGACTCGGCACAGCGCGACGCCACGACTTGGCCCCTTGCGCATTGTCAGGAAGGATGACGATCGGGTCTTCATTCCAATAACTTCCCATTGAGAAACAGACCGCCCCTCCTCCTGCAAGCACAATCTCGCCTCGAGAGGTTGAAACGGCCCCTACACCCACTAGCAAAGGCCATGTCGTTGGCGGCAAGGCCTGCATACTGGGATGCTCCACATCGATGGTCGTGTCCTTGCATGTTAAGAGCAGGAAGTCGTCTGATAGAGAGTGGATATGCTTCTGTGAAACACCTCCAATCAACAGCAGAGAATCGTTCCAGGGAACTAGACTGGCACCTATACGCGCGTATGCAGAGTTCTCCAAGCTGCTGCGAACGTCATTGGCGCGGTCCTTAAAGTTGAGCCTAGGTGTTGGTGTGGCGGAAATGGACCACTCCCACACCGCGTCTTGTACGACCACGCCGCTCTCGTCTTGTCCACCTGTCAGCAACCCCCAATCTTGAGCAAAATCGATCGTGGACATCGCGGCGGCGAAGCGTGCAGAAGGGCGCGGTCCGTCGACGGGAATGCTGTTCCATCCGCCGTTGGCAGTCCATAAGGCACAGTAGTGTTCGGCATCGAGTACTGTGCCGTCACTGGCTTTGCCACCAAAGACAAAGACGCCATGGATCTGTGATTCCCCACTTCCTAGTACAACAGCAACAGCAGAATGACGGTACCGGGCTGGCATCAGGTCGTCCACTTTGGCCCAAGCTCCCTGGTTGAAGAGCCAGCAATCTGCATAAGCCTGGGTGGGTGATCCGCGGCCTCCGACCAACAACGCTTCACCGTTGCGCATTGATGTGATAGTATGGCATACGCGGGCAGCAGGCAGCAAGCCACAAGGCTGGATGGTACGATCCCCGTTATGATCCTCCCGCGTCAATGTGTCCATATCGGCGAGACGGGCTTGCGTCCCTTGACCTCCGTGGAAGGCCACCGAGTCCTTGTCGAAAGCGAAAGCTGCTGTGAAACGACGTGGCGTCACGGCACCACCACCCGATAATTTCAAGGTGTGAAGGGTAATACTTCCCGCATCAACGGCTTTCCTGCACCCTGTGGTGGCTGTTGCCTCGCCATAGGCTAACTCAGTCGGTCCACTTTGCTCTGCATTTGAAGCGACGAGTAGGAAGTAATGACCCCCAAAGAGCGCAAACTCTTCCCACTCGTCAAACGGCTCCACTGCATTCAGCCCGCGTCTAAGGGTGGGAGGGGTAAAGCTATCATCAGACCATAGATCCCACAGATTGCGGGCCATGGTTATTGTGGGCCATCCTGCATTACGGAAACGAGCGGCTTGCTGGTTTAGTGATGAATGCAACTTAACCGCGTTGATTGATGCTTGTAGCTTGTCGAAGTGAGACAGCATTGTCTTGGCAAAGGGATGAGCTGGGCCTTGCGGAAGGTACTGTTCTATGCAGTATGGAGTCAGTATAAGCGAACTGGTACATACACATGAAGGAATGAATACCTAGTATGCAGAAGCGAGCTACAGATGTTAGCATAGCTTATGGGCAGGGTTTGACGAGTCTGCATACCGTCTTCGATAGTACTAGCCCACTGTATGAGAGCATCAGAGTCCTTTAGCGGCATGTAGGTCACAGACACTTCAGCGACGAACAGGATTGAAGACGAGGGGACATCGAACTCGGCCCGCAGAAGTCGTTCGAGTGTGGCAAGGTCTTTCAGATCGCATCCAAGAGCCATGTAGCTGTCGCTACGAAGATATACAGGCTGTTCGGACTGACGGAGTTTGGTCCTGAGCAAGGCGTCTCGAAGAAGACCATTGCTAAGCATGGTATCTCTCTTGCGTTGCATCAATTGTGGATAGTCGACGTCGACGAATGTAGATGATTGCGTGAGGGCCGGATACCTGTGCCAAAACTGGAAAGGCAAGGGATCACTTTCCGGACTTAGTAGCTTCTCACTGTGTTAGAGTCGAGACGACGGATGTCTTACTCACTATCCACATCCTAGGTTCACCACAATCTTGGGCTTTCCGTTCTCTTCTTCCAGAAACCGGCGGACTACTTGTTCAATAGCATGCATTCGTAGCCAATACCCGCGATTGATCAACGGATCTGAAGGGCATCAGTCCATGTCTCACGTGCAAGTGGTATCCAAGTGACGTACTGCGCCGAACGAACTTTGGTACAAAAGGCTCATAGAAGTCAGGCTCATTGCTGAGATAGAGTTTCGATACGCTTCTCTTGGACACAATGCTGCTGTCATTCGTCTGACATTGATATTAGTCCAGTGGCTACGAGGATGCTATGGGCGGAAGAGGCTGGGGACCTCACGTTCATGATATCCACATCTCTTCTCTCGCGCAGGGATTTCTGGTTACCCTTGCGCTTTGCAGCAGCCTTCTTGGAGCGCATCTTGGCGTCTTTGGCCATGTTCAGGTCTTCACGATGGGGTGGCCATGGTCTTGGGAGAGGAATGATTTTTGGAGCACCAGCCACTACGCGGGGCTAAGCTGACGTCGGGATCCCTGCATGGGCGCGTGAACCATCGTCAGACGGCGGTAGCTGCAACCTGCGATCAGGCCCAGGCTATCTTTTTCTATCACTTGCACCGGCGTATACACGCATCGCTATCGGCATCGCAATCGCTCGGGCTTGCGATTTCCTTTGCGCATCCGCTTGTAGGGCTTGGACCCCCGAACGGCGGCCAACAGCTTCACCGAGCTATCACGCGGATAGTCCCCAGCCCTCGCAGCACCCGGAACCACGCAGCCAACGCCAGACTCCCGCGATGAATTTCGTAACCTTCAACCAGGACCACAGCCATCTAGGCGTTGGTATGCGCTATGCCTGCCAGCTGCAGAACATGTACTGACCTAATCGCATAGGCACGCCCAATGGCTACCGCATATACACCACCGACCCGTTCAACAAGCAGTCCGAGTCGCGCGAGGGAGATGTCTCCAGCCTCGAGATGCTCTTCTCCACGTCGCTGGTAGCTCTCACGCTGTCGCCACGCGTGCTGCGTATACAAAACACCAAGGTTCGTCGGACAGGCGACGCTGGCCAGGCACGCACTGACAAGGACAAGAGGCACTCGACCATATGTGAGATGACATTCCGGACAGCCATCCTCGCCATGCGCATGAACAGGAAACGCATCGTCGTCGTGCTCGAGTCGGAACTCTACATCTACGATATAAGCAACCTGCAGATGCTCAAGACGGAGAAGACGTCGCCTAATCCTAATGGTACGTCGCAAGAAGCAGCACTTCACACATACTCACTGGCATAGCGATATGCGCTCTCTCAGCATCGTCCGAGAACAACTACCTCGTGTATCCGCTGCCCACCAAAGCCGCACCCGCTACCTTCCAGCCGCCTTCGCACGCGCCGCCCAAAGCCGATCACATCGCACCCACAAGCGGAGAAGTCCTTATATACGATGCTACAAAAATGGAGGCAGTCAACGTAATTGAGGCGCACAATTCTCCGCTATCTTGCATTGCGCTGAACAGCGATGGTACCCTGCTGGCGACGGCATCAGAAAAGGGCACCATCATCCGCGTCTTCTCCATACCCGATGCGCAAAAGCTGTACCAGTTCCGGAGAGGCTCCATCCCGGCCAGGATATACAGCATGTCTTTCAACTCGACATCGACCTTGCTTAGTGTATCGTCGGCGACCGAGACTGTCCACATCTTCCGCTTAGGAGCGCCCAACAGCAGGAGTAATAGCGTATCTTCCGGGCCTAGCAAGCCCATGGGCGCGTCTCATGCACGTAGCGGAAGTCGAACGAGCCAAGAGACAGCGGATGAATTCGGTGCCAGCACAGCAGATGTATCGACTCCAGAGCGGAAACCCATCAATCCCACTTTTGGGAGTTTGATTCGGCGCACATCGCAGACCGTTGGAAAGTCCTTCGCCGCTACCGTCGGCGGATATTTACCCAGCGCTGTAGCAGAGATCTGGGAGCCCTCGCGCGACTTTGCGTGGGTCAAGATACCACGCTCTCCGACAAGCTCTTCCACGGGACCTGTCAGGAATGTGGTAGCGCTCAACAACAACGGTCCTCAGATTATGGTAGTTACCAGTGAAGGGAACTACTATGTGTTCAATGTGGACTTGGAGAAGGGAGGCGAGGGTACACTGTACAAACAGTACTCGTATGTTGTCCGCTCCCTTACTGCCTTTTGATACCTACTAACGCTGACTGCAGCCTTCTTGAACCGAACGAACTCGCAGCAAGCAACTCACAGGATCTGCCGGAATAGATATCCCACCAGATGGCCCGATGTACTTTCCTTTAAGCCTCTTATTCTTCTTCTTGCATTGCCTCTGGCGTATTTGGTCCCACATTATTCCCCACGGGTTGGCGCACATGCCTTTGGAGTAGCACGATAGTCTTGATTTACGCATAGGTGCATACTGAGCATTCCCATGGCTCGGCAATATTACTTGCTTTTTGCGGAAACTTTGATCTTGACAGTGATGTCATGCAAGTAGTACAGTAGAGAGATTATCGAATCTGGCGCTTGCATCGTGCATGAACAGATATCGTGCATTGCTCTAGCGCGTTCCCGTGCCCCGCCCACGCGTCATTGGCCGCTGCCTGAACTCCAACCATGGTGCATTTATTTCCATCGACCTTGGAACTTCTTCACACCACTACGCTTCTATAAACCATACACGAGCTATAACTACCTTCACGAATCCCTTCATCCACTCCGCGAAACTTTGACGACCACAACGCACCCGGGATCCGTAAAGATGGTACACCAGAATACTACGGGCAACCCGCTAAGCTCGGGTTCGCTCGCGCTGTTCATGGCAACGTCGCTACCAAAAGGCGAATCTTCACAGCTCAAGAATGGCACCGAAGCCGTCGCACTAGCAGTACACGCCGGCATGCTTGCTGTTGGCTTCCGCCTGATCGGGCTGGGCGAAGACGAGCGCATAGGTAAGCACCCGTCTCATTCACCCTTACCTTTACACGTCATAACTCGGGAACTTATAGAAGCGCACGCAGACGCCGAAAACCCAGAGTCGTTACCGAAAGAATGGAATGCGTCATCCTCATACGCTTTCAGATACGCCCACGCGCAGTCAGCCATGGAGTACCTCGTCAAGGTCAATAGGTTGGGAGGCAAAGCTGTCGTATACGCTCTCGCGCTCGGCGATGACAAGACCACACATTTCGAAGTCACGACCAAGGACTACATATCCGAATCGCAATTACCATTCAGTGTGTCTGAAGATACATCAACGGAGCAGGTGTCGGAGAAGGTGCAAGAGCTGTTCATCTCGCCAGGCAGGCTGAACGACCTCGGCTCGCTCCTCAAGATATCTGTTATACAGAAGCTGGCACCCGGGCTTAACAAGCCAGGCTACGAGGAGGGCAACACCGACCGCGAGCGCACCCCTACAGCGGATCGGCAAGAACCACAACGAGGGGGACCTGCCAACCCACGGCAGCCCCCCACTGAACCGGAGCCCGCACGACCATACCCTTTCAACGATCCTCTCGCCGCACAGCCAGGCTCGGGGCGGCATCTACCAGAACCCATACCCGGCTTTGACGACGAGTTGGGCATGAACAGACAGCCCGGTCGCATGCCCGGTAACAACCCCATCAACATTGGGCATGACGATTTATATCCACAGGGTCTCGGACCTAATGATCCCCTTCGGCCACACCTAGCAGGAGGGCTGCCACGACCTGGCGGTTTTGGCGGCGGCGGGATGCATCCCACATTCGATGATCCGCTGTTTCGCGGTCAAGGCGGACAAGGTGGATATGATCCCAGAGCACCTCCGGGGGCGCGTTACGACCCTCTAGGACCAGGCGATCCGCTTAGAGAGGACAGAGGAAGAGGTCCGATGTTCCCAGGCGGGGGCGGGTTTGGAGGGCCAGGTGGTTTTGGCGGAGCAGGTGGACGACCACCGAATCCATTCGGTGGCTTTGGTGATGGAGACTTCATCTGAGCATCCAACAACAGATTGGTGACGGGCAGAAGCGATAGGTGAAGAAGAGAGGACGAACAATTCACGAATGACGATTAACACGGCAGTATGATACGGCGTAGTAGTTGACGTGCATGCGGCACAGGCAGGGCAGTACTGCACCGCCTCAACACTGCATCTCGGTGCTTGCGCAGGTACGATATGTAGATGAACATGTATTATATTTAGAACGACAGACGTCAATACCCATCATGACAGTTCCATAGCGAAGTCTCTGTGATCGTTCATGCGATGAGCGAAACCCATCGAGCGTCAGTGCTGGGGCTTAGATTCCCCACCCACTTCAAGATACCAACGATGAAGGCAGGCGAAGCAAGACCAGCGCTTCTAACAATACCGATGCCTGGACTCATGCGCCCTTCATCGAAGTAAAGTTTGAGTGGACAGGCGTCTCCCAGACGATATTCTAGCCTTGGGATCCCAGCCGCCAGCAGAAGTTCAGCAAATGCCTCAAGGCATTCCGGTGAGCATCGTCACTGACTCCTGCTGCCTGGCAATAACTCAGCTTCTGCCCAATACCAAGCGGAGATGTATGTGATGAGGTAGAGTCACTTGGCCGTAAGATATGCCTGCCAGTACCTGAAGTCAAGGTTTCCATGACCAACGAAACATCTATTGGCATCTGCAAGGCATGCTATAATCGTGTCTAGACTGTGGTGTAACACAGTATGCATGAAAGATATAGTGTATCATCACGGAATGGTCCTTCACTGTACAGCTGCAAGGAGCCTGGGTGTTGTGATTGGAAGCAGCAAGACGTCTCGCTTGTACCGGGCCGCCACTGTGCAGGCCCTGGTCGTTCGAAAAGCTACCTCACCGTCATCAAAGACAGAGATTCAGGCGGTGAAGCATGCTCTCGCAGCGATGGCTGGTCTCGGTCACTCTGGCCTTTCGCTTGTCACGAACTCGCGTGTTACATTCTAATCTTGCTATGCAGTCAGTGCAGTAGTCTAACCAGCTGGATACTTCCAAGGTTCTTGTCTGCATGACAGAAGCACATCGTACCAGAAGCAGGCTCCTGCGTAAAGCTAGGAAACCCCATGTACAAGGAACGAGATACGTAGGTGGTTATGTGGTTTCACCGCACAATCTATGTCTTTTGGGGAAGAAGAAGCGAATCGAGCTACTACCTGCCTACTCCTTAGCTCCTCCCAAAGTCCTATACACATGGGCGAGCTCTTCGATGCTGTCTGAGAGCTTGATCAGGGAATAAGAGACGAGCTTCACGTCATGGCACTACCAGCCGTCCGCTAGTCACCTTAGTTTTGCGCCGACACAGACTCGCGACGCGGATGGTGGCTTACTGACTCGCTTTGTACATACAGTGGGAGTATCAACCATGGGCTCACCTTGGCCTATTTACCACGTCGTTGGGTCGCACATATACGGCTGAGACCAAAGGATCACCCTGACTGTGGTGGCGACCGACTGTATACTGCCGGTGGCCCAACCAGCGGCTGATGTCTCGTCGATGGTGGCTGATGGTCGACTTGGGCAGCGTCGCAGTACCTACTTTTCTGTATCTAGCATGTTTTCCCCAGTATCAAGCGTCATATGGTGTGATACTGGGACCCAACGTTTGATGTCAAATGGCGTGGGGTCTGAAAGCGCGCTTCCGGCGCACGGGCGTTCGGGGAGCGCGAAGAACGACCTCAGTGATTGACCTGATGTTACGGGCTGAAGACATGTGCGGTAAAGCTCGTAACGATAATCGGCGGCGTAGTGTCTGGAGGATTGTCGCACTTTGCGTCAGCCACTGCGGAGAGCTGATGCGTCTTACCTGCTTCCAGAAAGCAGCCTCACCCGTGAGGCACAGAAGCTTACCTTCACATCCTCATGATCCTACGAAGTCTTCTCGACCCATCTCCCCTCTTTTTTCGGCCCTGATTGAATACACTCCGAAGGGCGCCAAGGGCACATCGTCTCGCCTTCCGAGCCAATCAGTAGGGAAAGTGCGAGTACCATGCACAATTGATCTTTACCCACATGGACCGGTCACAGTGACAATCCAGCACGGGAGCAGACAGCCTAAAGACATGGGAGATTCGGATGCCGGCATCCTTGCTGAGGCCTGTCTGCCGTGGGCCGTCGCAGGTCGCGGCGTCTAAGCGCGAACGGCTGAACCGTTGAGAGGGTAAATTTACCGCCATTCGAGACCAGTGTTAGCAGGTATAATCGACTTGTCACTTTCCTGTTTCGCATGTCTCCTGCCTAGACAGGCCAATATGCGTTGACCCATCCCGCTCGAATTATGCAAATATCCATCTTTTTGTCTCATCCCACCGGCCTAAATAGGGCTAAATGCATGGCGGTTGCTGATAACACTGGTGTGATGCCGATCGGCGGGCGGCTGGCGCGTAATCAATGGCCACGAGAAGGCACAGTTCATCACACGTTGTGGCAACGGGCATATGCAGGATGGGGAATGGAGGATGCCATTTCTCAAATTGCAAAGACGGAGTCGATCCGGGTGTGACCGCTGTCGCATATTTGCTCTTGCCTGAGTTGGATTGTTGGACTGCAGGGTTTTCGTGTTGGTCTCCGTACCTCTCGGCTTCGTTTCGCTGCATATTTTTTTTTATCCACAAGGAACGCTTTGTATAGCTCGGTAAGATTTGTCCTGCAAGAAGCATCCTGCCGGGAGTCGTGGACATGCGCGTGCCGGCGTCGTTGGTCGGACTTTCGTATCGATTGGTGTGACAGCGTGTCTGAGCGCCGAGAGATCGCTACCAGTCTGCTGGATGTGCTGTCATCTGCAATGCAGCTTGCGAGCATCATAGCTCGACATCGCCGTCTAGTCATTTGAGTTTTCGATGCTCGTACGATTTTCAGGCAGGAAGTCAGGGTTGTGCTTCCCCGCAAGCGAAATGAGGAGATCCAGGCTTATCCCCCGCGGAGGGTTCTTGTCTGCGCTCGGTTTGCGTTCATCGTTTGCTATGATCGGGCGGCACAGCTTCGCGCCCACTAAGTCGACGATCTCGGGGAATCGGCCGTTTGTGGACAGCAAACGCTTGCGGGAGTTTCCAGTTGCCGCACCGATCTGGCTGTGCCTCACCGTTGTGAGATTGCAGAAAGGGGGCCGGGGGACGCGGACGATATGCATCTCTCATCATTTTTGTTTGACATTTGAGGCTCAACGACAAGGCTGCTTCTGCAATCGTCGCAAATCACGGGGCTACAATATTGGATGGCATCCTGCCACAGTGCCGAAGCAAGGGAAAGGCCGTAGGTATGCCAAGCGTCCTAACTGTTTGAAGATGGACCCCGAACCCGGCGAGGCTGATTGTGAAGATGAACGGAGATGCCGCCAACATTATTCGCGGACATGCCTAGAGGATTTAGTCCGGCATCGTGAGGGTGATGGTATTCTTGAATCAAGCGCTTGGAGTGATACGGACCCTTCGAACACCGCTTCGCGTCGGACTAAGTTATACTTAGACTGCACATACCTCGATACCCCTACTGCGTCTAGTAAATGGCAAGTAAGCCTCAGAAAAGCGCTCAGCCTCACATTGAGGTGTTCTGTCCGGTGTTGAGCAGTTTGCGTTCCACGCGCCCAAGATGTGCGGACTAACTACGAACAGTATGTAGCTCGCCGCCTTCCTCTTCGATCGTGGATGGCCATCTGCCAAGTCACCAAAGTTACAGTAGGATCACAAGCGTACCTAGCTCCTGGTATTCGGTCTGGGTTTTGCATAACATTAGTGTCGCAATACAGTACCACATATAGTTCCAAGGTTCGGCTTGTATCTTGATTTGGTACGCTGTCCGTGCGTTCTTCGATGCCATTGGCCGGGGAAGAAGCATACCGTACCCGAACGTAGTAAACCGTCTTGGGAAATTCGTACGGTTGGTAGATATACTTGAAAGAACCCTGATGAGCTTCTAGTGGATACCGGAAATATATGGTATAATTCTCCGTTTCAATTCCCGAGCATGAAGACAGTACGCCGAGCTAACGAAAAAGATCGTGTGGTATAGGTGTGGTTTACCGATCTTCAAAGTTGGCCCTGTGTTACGTGGACAAGTCAATACCGAAGAGTGCAGTCCCAATTTTCTGCCCTATGCAAAACACCATGCTTCCAAGGTGAGGAAAGATTCCCCGTTGATAGCTCCACTGGTTCTGCAGGGTATTGTGTAGCTTCGGCACTCAGGGCCACTGCAAGAGTCAGGCTGGCGCTGTATGTGGGTGGAGACTGTCATAAGCCCTGAGCTGCTCCACTGCAGCCGGCGGATCGATTGAAGCCGTTAGCGCCATACCCCTGCTCGACGCGAGAACAGAATTTGCTGAGACCGAAGTGGAAGGGGGGCCTAACCAGCTGTGACCTCACGCACTTTCCAAATGACGAGACGGGCCAGTACAGCAAAGTCAGAGTAGAGAAAGAGAGCAAGATTATCCGAGTTCATCTTCTCATTTTCAAACTGTGTCATACCTTCACAGGAAGCGCATGTGCGGGCTGGAAGCACCCACCATTCGACGTTGTTTTTAGCTGCACTGCACACACCTCTAGCGAGGCGGCGTCTATCGCGGACTGTGGACGCGGCACCAGACATCGCTAGCAGGGGTTTTGCGGCTCGCGCGGGCAGCGGAAGCATCGCGGCAACTCCAGGTTTTTTAACGCCTTACCGATCGACTCGGAACCTAGAAGCGCCGTCTAGCGCTTTGGGGAACGCGATTCGCACAACATGGCGCCAGGAAATGTGCGTGCATGGCAACCGCGTGGTGTTGCGTCCAGTATGTATCCAGTGCCATGTGTGTGGTTTTCCAGTAACCTGTACCAAGGTTTGGAACGTCAGATTGCACGAACAGCATTCGGCTGTCTTCTATGTGGTATCGCAAGAAGCGGAGACACAGATGACTTTGGATTTTGACGTCGCTGGGGTCTCTGTCACGGAGGCGGAATCTCTTCTTGCCACTAGGCTGCGAGATTGCACCGGCGTGATTGTCAGCCAGCCTAGCAGGTAATGTGTGTCATGAGCGTCAATGTTAACCCACGTTCCTCTTACCCATATACTGCGTGGACTTCTGGCATTGTCACAACTGAACGTCCAATAAGCTACATGGGTCGGTCAGTGCTCGGCCATGAAACGTTCCTTCGTAGGATTGTTTCGAGAACTTGGTCCCCGTGACCTTCTCCGTATGACCCATGTCAACCACGCATATTGGGTCTCGCTTTATGTTGTACAAACTTGCCAACCGATGCACCTTCCTTCCCGTAAAGTTGGTGCGGCTGGTCGCATGGTAGACTGCTGACTGCTTAGATTACACGTGGATCTTCCGGTCAGCTCACTGCAGGAACACGGCGGGTGCGCGGCACAATTGGTCGTTAATTATTGAGTTCAAGCGATAAATCCCGCGTTGCTGTGTGGGCTAAGCATGGTCGAGCACTGCGGTGGGCGAGACTCGATGCCGTGGTACAACAGGCTGGTACTCGTCAGTGACAACCCGTTGTTGGACCGCGCGGAAACAGACTTGGCCTTTCTCATGATGTTATTGGGTTGATGGGTTGACCAATGGAAGATGAAGCGATGCTCGTATAGGTATGCCGTCAATCCCCAGCAATACATGCAGACTGTATAGTCCATGTGGGGGTGATTGCAAAGATATGCCGATGTTGCAATGGCCCAAACTGCGACCCGACTGATGTGCATTGCAGCAGAATGTCTCAGTCGAGATGGCCCTGTCCGGCCCGGCACAGGTGACTTCTTCCTTGATTCCGCGGCATGGAGCATGGAGGCCGAGCGATGATGGCTAGCCATAATGGGGTGTGAAGGTCCCGTCCCGTCGCATATGAGGGTTGTCACTCGCATAGGACGAGCGTCACCTGAGTGGCGCCTGGGGCAGAACGTCTGTCGCACGATCCCTTCCTCTTTGATTAGATGTCGTCATGCACAGTTCGTCGTGTCGAGCAAGTCGCTGATCGCATCGCCTGTATCAGTGCGGAGGAGGGGAAGGATGTTAGGGGCCAAAACAACGTGCAGCTGCTGGCTGGCTCAGACCCAGAATCCCGGGTTAGGCAGCAAAGGTCGCCGTTATTGCGACGGGTCTGGGTTGAAGGGTAAGCGAAAAGAGACGCGTCGAAACGAGCACGGCCAGATTGGGGAGGTCGTTGGAGGATCGTGGTGGGAGAGAGCTTGGCGGCCGTGACGTGTGGGGCCTAGCGCGCTCGAGGGCTGCAACCAACGAGCCGACGTGGCTCGAGCCAGATAAGACAAGGCCACACGGCCAAACATTAAGCGCCCATCACAACGCTACGCGACTAGTCTCTGGAGTACACGGACAGGGAGCAGAGACAAGTTCCGGGATTGATTTGCGATGTGGGTCGGCAGCGATGCGTGATGTGGTGGAAACGCTCCAGCTTAGCATGAGCAGCATCCGTCCACTGACCTTGTTGCTATAGCTGCCCCAGAGTAGTTTTCGACTGAAACTACAGGTAATATAGCCCGCGAAAGAGCATGCTGCGTCTAATTAGTAGCATCGAGGGTCCGTCCGCAAGCTATCTCACCGTGCCACCTCCCCAGCGTATCGTTGGCCAGTCAGATGCGGCCTGCGTGAATTCGCTCACATCGAGGGCGCTTAATATGCACCATACCTGCAACACTTCACAAACAGCCCACATCCATGTAGAACTGATCTGACAAGGGTCGCGCTTCGTGGCTTGCGGTAGTGGTCCCCGGCGTATCCCCGCCTAAGGTGGGTCGTACGAAAAGACGTTGTGGACAGTGCCGGCTTATTGCAGCCAGTCTCCTCGGATCGATCTAGGTGGCGTCCTTCCAGCCTCCTAGACTGCTAGGGTACCATGCTAGAGGAGCTGGTCATGATTTGAGTTTTGTGCATTGAAGTGGTTTCATGGTGTAGTGTGAACGAGCGTGATCATATTCTCCTAGTAAACAAGAGGGGCCATTATGCGATGAAGCAGGGCAACCTTACCACGTAGCTACAGTTTTTCTATTGCTCTCACATTCTTTGGAGTGCACTAAAACGCCATTGTTACAAATTTCCACCCACGCAATGTAAAGAAAACATTGAAACAAGACAGCGATACAATTTGCTACGGCCCGTAGTGGAATCTTCAACTGAACGAACTGCTTCCGACGTGTCTCCCCATGCTGGATGTATCAAGTGCTGGTACAGGACAGTCCTCGCTGATCGATGCAGAGTTGACCTATGCCGTCGATCAGAGTTTCGAACGCGTGAAAGCTGCGTCATCCGCATGCACTTGGGTGCGGCGACTGCATCCATCTTCCTCGTGTCTGAGAAGTTGTTAGCAAGATGAAATGAACACATAATTAGGTTACTACTGACCTGCTGAGCGTGTCTTTACGAGGAAAGGTTGCAGGGCACCTTGAACACTTCCAAGGTCTGTTGTCTGTGTGCACACTCTGGTCGTGGCGAGCCAAATCTGTCTTGCGCACAAAGTGTTTGTCGCACTGAGGGTGTGGGCAAACATTCGGCCTCTTTCGCTCAGCCGCATGTGTAAGCATGTGCTGGTTGAGGTTGTATTTCCTGGCAAAACCCCTGTCTTTGCAAATCAGGCAGTGGTAGGCAGCATTGGCGGGATCAGTGTGCCTGCGGTTGCGTGTTCGTTTTGCGACGGCAGTTCGAGGAGCTCGTGCAGCCCGAGCTCGTGCATTGGCAGTCCTGATCACTGTTGACGCCTGTACGGGGCTACGGTTGCTGTAGTTGTAAACCGGCGCCGAGTCGTATCCAGGCATAGCTGGTGATGGATACGCACTCTCGTAGGAGTACATGTGTGTGCTAAGCCGATCGGGAGCTACTGTGAGTGGTGGATGCCCTGATAAGGAATGACCACCCATAGTAACTGGCACTTCTGTGCCAAACTGGATGCGAGCTGCTGGGTTCCATGCCGGGCCCTCTAACTTGATGCTAGAGTAAGACTCCGGCTCTGAGCCATCGTGCGAATAAGCAGCAGACATCGCGCGTTGACTGTACACGTCTGGGGATGTAGGAGGTGTGTCCTGGGCGGAACTCCACGGTACTGGCGAATGGGGGACTGGGTGATCGAAAGCTCCTGACAGATAGGGATCTGCAGTGGCCTCTGCCGAGGTGCCGTTGGGATACTGAGCGCTAACCCAGCCTTCCGATTGTGGGGGAGACGATGGAGAGAGAGTGTTCGGCATTGAAGGGTGGACTGGATATAAACCAAGACCATGTGGGTAGCTGGGCCGCGGCTCTTGTTGTCTTGGTGAAGGATAGGGTGACTCAAGCAGGGAGCCTGGTTGAGATGTGTGTTGTTGGTAAGGCGAGTTGAAAGGTGGCGTGGGCTGGTCCGCGTACGAGTACATGATGAAAGGATCTCAAAGGGATGAACGTAGTCCACAAGTCTTTGAGGTCAAGTAGGTTGGCGAGGAATGAAGACAGGCAAAGATAGAAATGATGTGGTAGAAGCTGGATGAGGATGCCAACTGCAGGGCGTTTCGGGACGAGTTATATCTGTACGATGCAGTGCGTGACTAACTCCAAGATGGAATTGATTTGTATACTGCGCCAGTGCGTTCTCGGAGCCTACGTTAAACAGTGGGCTCTTGAGTGTTAGGCAGATTCTGAAATTATGCTAGACAGGGCAGCATGAACAGAAAGCTCGAGCCGCCTACGCGGCAGGCGCCTGTTAGCTTCATGGGGCTATGAAAGAGTGGCAGGGGGGCGATGGATGCAGCTCGAGACCGGGGTATGTGCAAGTGAACCAGACAGCCGGGTAGCTAGGCCTTAGCGGGCCGAACACAGGCATCCTTGCGCCGACCGGACTTTGAGGCGCAAGAGGAGAGGGCGGTTGTACCCTTGCTCGATGTGCATCCCCATGAAACTGGCCAGTCTGGCAAAGGATGTCCCGTCTGTATCTGACGTTGATCGTTCATTCATGTGTCACCCCAATGCCGTTACCAAAGTGAGACACCAACACCTCAACTCCATACGCGCTTGTTTGAGTAGCTCTTGGGATAGACAGATAAGATCAACTTGAATTTTAACCGGATTTGCAGTGCTCATCCTTAGCAAAATGTACCTATATGTCCGCGGCTGCAAGCGCCGGCCATCAAGCGACCGATGTGCTCGCTTCGCGCTGCTGCTGGAGCTGCGACACCATCGCAGTAAGTTCTTCAACTTGCGTTGAAAGCTTAAGGACTAGTGCCTTCAATGGAGCATCGGTTTCTGTAGACCCTGCTCGTGCCTGGGGCTTCTGGGGCTTCCTCGCAAATGAGTTTGGTGCTTCCGCCATCAATAGGCGTGGAGAGTTGACCGGCAACCGAAGAGCCTTTTTTGGTGGGGTTGGTGTCTGCGGTCCGCTGAAAGATGTCGCTTTCACATCGAGATTACGGGTATCGGTCAGCTGCTCGTAAGCCCAGATTGCAAATACAAGAGGTAGATGCGTGGCCTTGAGCAAGACGATCCGGACGCTCCTGAGTCGCTCGGAGGGGATGACGAGCCGCAACGGTCGAATGACTAGCGGAATGAGATTCTGGAAGCCGGTCAGCCTTGCAAAGTTGAGCACGGCTGTGGATACCACTGCGTTGTGGGTTCGCAGGGATTCACAGCGGCCTTGAGTCGAGAGAGCCTGAGCGCCAGAACAAGGCTTGTCAGTGACGTGACAACGGCAGAGCATCCGCCGACGATGCTTCCTTCACGAGCCGGCCACGAAGCTTTGACTGGTTGGTTCTGAGCGCGTCTTCCACGATGGCCATAGAGGCTGTGTCGATTGGGCGTTGAACGACCCGGCGCTTAATGCCCGCTTTTAACCTCCCCATAATAATAGCACTGAACAACATACTTACCAGTGGAGGCAGAAAGTATGTCAATCGATTTGAGCTTGATGCTTCGAGCACGTATACGGAATAGCTGCATCGTCAGTGCCTGAAGAAAGTTGCCTTGGATCATGCCGACGTACATGAACAAATATTCATCTCGCGCATGATCGAGAACCTGTCCACCGTCAATATCGATCCTTTGGAAAGTAATATAACCAGAGATGATAAGCTATAGCCGGTTGTTCATGGGGTCAGGGCAGTCAGTGCCTGCGAGAAATCTCCTGTTGCAGTCCCAATGGGGCTGTATCACACCCCCGTAAGACCAACCGGAAAAAGTCAAGTGCTAACCCCAATGCGAATGCACTCTGGGGAGACTGCAATGGAGATGAGGCGGTCCAGTCGGGCGTTAACCGTTGTTTTGCGCTTGGCATGCACAGACATGCATGCGATTTGAGGTTGCAAAGCAGTGAGGACCAATGGAAAAACCCATTACCTTACTCAACGAGTTGCTCAAAAGCGATATGAGGCTTGTAATCAACAAGATGTTTGTCAAAGTGACGAAAACAAGCTAGTGTGTGATCAGCAGACCGCGATGCGATGCATTCCAAATAGTCAAACTCGTACCATCACAGGAGGTCCGAAGAACGGCGAGCTATGCAGGCATTAGCAAGCCATTGGCACTGTTGATCGGAGGAGTGCATACATCTCTTCGGCGACATCTGCAGGCAGCTGTCGTCAGTACTGGTGGACAAGAATCGGTGTATGCCTTCGCTTGGCCGTTGCCTGAGGCTTGACTCACCGAAACCTAGGTAGCTAGAGCTGAGAAGGCATTAGCTGGTATAGCAACAGTGGCGTGATGTTAACCATTACCCGAAAAAGACCTTGATCAGGATCCAACTCTACGTTGCACGAGTCAGCAGTTGGCACGTCGGTGACCCCGATAGACAACTTGCCATCTGCTTCGCATTGAATCTACTATCTCTAGCCAGCAGTACGAAAGTAGTTAGAAACCCTTTATATCGGTGAGCATTGGCTGCAGCTACTAAAGCGTCGGACGCCTTACCCAGGTACAGGATGACTACCAGTGAAAGGAATTTGATGAAATCCTTGGTCATTTCTTTGAGACACGGGATAAGGGTGCCAAAATATCGATTGAGACTCAAGAGAGAGAAGATACGCGGCACGAGGAAGAGAGCCTCTAGTCCGAGTACGTCATAGGCAAGATCGATGGTGGTAGCGTTGGCTGTAGTCAGACCAACAATCCTCATAATGCAGAAGACAAAGCCCACGACGACGATACTGATGTCCCAGGTCCACCTAAAGACGTTAGCCTCCATCAAAATGGCGATGAGAAACGCATGCCTACCAAAAGTCCGAGGCATAGAACGAGCTTTGCCCTGCGTCTAACCAATCCGAAAATTCATCGTACGCGAAGCTGGCAATCCACACGTAGAGCAGTATCTCGGGAATGGTTACTCGGGCGTTGTTTCGCTGCACTAGAACTGCGTAGTACAGCCCTAAGAATGCCGCAAAAAAGAGTGTCTCGAAAATCTTCAAGTACAACGGAACGCGTAGCCTGGAGAAGGGATCGGCCTGCTTTCGGTTGTACTTTTTGGGCTTCTTCTCTGAGTGTAGACTGAGGGTCTCCCAGAATACGATGTCGCCTTTCCACAAGCCATTTATGATTTTCTGGACTGGTCTCTGGGACAGGAACTTCTTCGCACCAGATACAGTCGCAAGCTCCAATGCACTGAGATTCTCGCATTGTGACATCAGCGATCCGAAGCGAGATCTGGGAGAGTCGCCGCGGCTGAAGTAATCGGTGTTGGATACGGGAAGCAAAGGCGACCGCTCGTCGGCATGTGTGGTGTCGCGTTCGTTCTCGCCCGAGTGGTAGCCGTTCGGTGGGTTGGAGGTGGTCGGCGTCGTTGCCGGCGGGAGTTCTACTAGCAGAGACTCGATGATGTCGGCTTCTTTCAGGTTCGTCAAGAATTGCCAGGCTACGAATTCGCATGCGTAGCCTCGCGCTTCGTTCACGCCAGGCTCGTCGCTGGTTTCCTCCAAGGCAGAGAAATGTCCCTTCAGGGCCCTTCAATATGGTCAGCGCTCTCCACTCCGGCATGCAACCATCTGGTATTGATAAAAGCGACCTGGGTTGCCTCGACGTACAGTAGAGCGGACACGAGGGCAGGGTGGTCGACTTGGGTAGACAGGTATGCGATGAGAGGCTGGACTGCCCGGCCCTCCTGCGATCGACGCAAATCTTCGAAGGTATGTGGCAGCTTGATCTTATGCTCAAAGAACCTACTCTCGGGTTAGGCCACTGGACAATTGCGCATTCACATGCATCGACTGACTGGCACAGTTTGTCTACCAGGTCTCCGAAGCACTCGTCGCCGGCTATCTCTGGCACGCCCGTTTCGTCTGCAGGCCATCTCGGTGTGGACGGTATCGACATGGTGGGTTCTTATGATAGCTTGCGATTGCCCTCTGCCACTTCCTCCAGTCTTCGCAACATTGAAAGATTCGCGACGCGTTAGGCGCATGGACCTCGGGACCCGCGTCGTCATGGCTCTCTTGGCAGCCGCCATCTGTCTCCGCGACTGCAACCTCAGACTTCGCTGCAGCATACAGCATGCTCTGAAGCTTTTGTGTGCACGACATGCGACTTTGATCACATATCCCTTCGCTCGCACTAACCCACGTGTGAACCGCCGTCTCAAGCAACATGGCGCACGATGCTAATTTCGTCGGCAATCGTCTACGGCTGAGCGCCTTTCTTTCATGTGTGGGAGGGATACCAGACCGTCCGTCACGTTTCAAACCGCCTATCCAAAATCTGGACGTGGTAAACTCCGCTGCCCCGTTCTCCGGATTACATCGCGACGTGTCAGTCAAGGAACCGGCCAGGGAGCCAGCAATCTTGCCCTCAAAATTATCTGCCGAGGCAGAATTCATCGGAACCAACTTGTGTGAGGAAGCTGCAGCTACCGACAGGCCGCTGGATACCAACATCGAAGAAGATAGATCTGCCTTGGATGGTCTCACGAAGGCGCCATCTGTATACGACATCCCAAGTTCATCACCACCAGACCTCTGTCTAGCCTCTGTTAGCGGCGGCAAACAAGGACTTCGCAACGGGCTTTCGAGCACTCGGAAACGGCGTTTGCCAGTACATGAGCTCGCTTTGCTGCGGACTACTACACTGGATGGACTACCCCTACCGGGTGTAAGGAGCTTCCACGGGTTTCGTCGTAGGTAGCTTGCGGCCAGCTAACGCTGTTGACTTTAGGATGTTACTCTCAATGTTGCTGCTCCCATTGCGGTCGTGGACCCTATCGAAGATAGCCAAATACGTCTTACAAATACGTTGCACATCTCCGTATGTCAACGATAGTCAACGCTGACACTGCTGACCTTCACGCAGACTTCAGGCGGCGTCATCATCACGAAGAGTAGGCTGATACCGAAGACAACACAACCGCCAGACTCTGTCGGCCTTCCCAAGACCGAACCAATGGGAATGCACACAGAGCCCCTGGAGAGACCCACACAACTTTCTACTAAGATGCAGCGATATTGTCCAAACCTTCGAGATGCTTTTGACGGGTTTGTTGGTTCCGAACTAAAGCTCGTTCCCAAGAAAATTGTCAACCGCCAAAGGATCGCCAATCCGACCAAGAGACAGAAGCCTGGTATCAAGCGCGAACTAGTTCTACGAGCTGGGTCACCACCTTTATCGGCGGGTTGGGCTACGACTACCGCCAATGCTTTAGTTGTGGGCAAAACATCTATGATCGTTGGTGCGAACACTTCGTCAAGACTTGAAAACGCCCAAACCCACGTAGGACTCGGACAACTGACATTGACGAGATGCCGGAACGTTCTACAGGCTGGCACAGATGATGGACATGCCCCTGAACTGGGCGATGAGACACTATACGAGAAAGCTCACGAAGAAGATCATGACAACGATTTTACTGCTGAGACTGGTCACTACCAGCTCAACCGAGTACCCACATCTTGAGACCACATCAGCCGATTTTAATGTTCAGCACACCTGGACGGTCAAAGCGAGACGGAGAGTGATGGCAAGATTGCCAGCCCTTATTAACGACGTTGACGATTCATATTACGCAGATTAAGACGGCGGGGGACCCTGGAGATCAGCAATGGTGTTGGAGAGTACAGAGTGACACGTACTGGGACAGCGAGCACCTCCTGGGTATTCGGTAGACTCAGCTCTTGCATGCCTGACAGCGTTCGATGACAGACGTCAGGCCTCCGAACCTGCGAAGACTTCAAATTGCGAGCCAGGGAACGATGTGGAATAGACCACCAGAGGCAGTGTCAGCTATAGCATACAGTCCAGGTATTCGTGGGGCTTCTTGAAACGCCTCGGTTCCTAAGTAGTAGCAATGTTCATGAATGCGGACTATGGTGCACGGCATACGTTCGCAGTCTCGGTGAATACCTGAGCAAGAGATGGACAGAATGAATGAAATACGTTTTAAGTCGCAAGCCATTTGGTCCGTCGCAACATTGGCCTGATCGGGCTGTTTTGCAGCTGAGGTGTGACGTCGCTTTATTGGAGCATGTAAGCCAGCTACCGACGTCTGTGTGAGATCGATGACTTCAGCACTGCAGATTGGGGTCATCGAACATTGACATTCGATGTACAGGGCTCCCGTGGTCAGAACGTGGTATTAGTTCTTGACGTTGTTCTAGCGGCAGTCCCGAAATAGCGATCGGTGTCTCGGTTTCGCGATTCAGACACTAACATCAAACACCACACTACTGTTTGGACGCATGGACAAAACATAGCACAAGTGTTCTGCAGGCGTGTTGACACAAGTGGAGTGATGATTGAAATGGTGCGGCGCAACATATATGGTGGGCTTGCGCCTCGCTGCGCGAAGCTCCCCGTATCGCTTCGACGTCCTGGTACTCCGACTATTGACTAGTCACGACTCTCATCTCCAACGCATCGCCTATCGCCGGCGCAAACTAGGTCCGAAAAGTCGAATAAACACAAGTAGCGATACCATGGCATCACAAGGCGGCATACCACCTTCTGTGGTAAGTGTACCCCACCCATAGGCTTATCTGATGGGCCTGGAACTTGGAGAGAGACAAAGTCACTGACGTTGAAAAGGCATCACAAGCGCCACCATATGCTCCTATGGTATGGCCTCTGGGTGGTCCTCCAGTGAAACGGGTCGATATTCCTGCCCAAACTGTCTTCATGTTCTTCTTCATGGTCGGAGCAGCAGTACACATGAAGATATTCCAAAAGAACAGAGCACGAGGTCACAAGTTCTTACCAAACCTCTTCATCTTCCGTATGTATAGCCACATTCTGGATGAAATGGATGCTGACTATTCCGAAGTTTTCTGCATGGAACGCATATTGACATCAATCTTGCGACTCGCATCGGTCTCTAATCCAACCAACATTCCACTTGCGATTGCTGCACAGATCTTCATCGCAGCAGGTGTTCTTATACTATTCGTCATCAATCTCGTTTTCGCGATGCGCCTAGTAAGGTCGACACATCCGTCGGTGGGTTGGCATCCTGCGTTTGGCATCGTGTTCAAAGCCTTTTACGCGTTGATCGGCTTGACACTTATCGCTGTCATTACAGCTACAGTTCAGAGCTTTTATACTCCCAACGCAGGAACTCGAGCGACGGACCGCGGCTTCCAGCAGTACGGCGCAACCTTCCTGGCCATCGTCGCTACACTACCTTTGCCGATGACGGTGCTCACGCTTCTCATTCCCTATTCGCCGCTCGATCATTTCGGTATGGGCCGTCTTCGTACAAAAGTCATAGTCCTGATGATTAGCACCACACTCCTCTCTATTGGCGCATGGTATCGCTGTGGTGTTGCTTTCCAGACACCAGTCCCGAGATCACAACCTCTACCAGGCTATCTCGGTAAGGCACCATTCTACATTTTCAACTTCCTCGTGGAGATCCAGACGGTACTCATGTACGCCATACTTCGCGTAGACCTCCGCTGGCACATCCCCAATGGCGCAAAGGGGCCTGGTAGCTACGCTAGATCACGAATGGGTGACGTGGAAATGCAAGACTCGCGACCTACTTCCTCGGACAGCGTACAAGATGACAACAAGTCGGCCAGGTCTTTCAGTGAAGACGAAGAAAAAGAGTTGGAGAATGAGAAGGTCGAGGAGCTCCCTGCCCCCAGGATTATAGAGATAGATCTCGGAAACTCTTCACGCAGCTCCCTGGCGCCACCAGACATGGACCTCAACAGGAACTCGGCCCGCAGCTCTCTGGCAGTACCAAAGACGGCAGATAGATCAGCGCGCAGTTCCATCATCTCCCAACGCCTATCCTCATTCATCAGCAAGTCCACCAGCACACTAGCTACCTTTGCGACCGCGGAGCAAAAGCAACGATGGCGGGAGAGCGAGGAAGCGAGGATCGTCCGAAGACTGGGAGGGCCATGGCAGCAACTCCCTAGCCCGGTTGAATCAACTTTCAGCATGAGCAAGAGCCCGACGAGGAGCGTCTTCAGCCGTACGACAGGAGGGGATGGACCAGAGGCGCCTGAACCAGCATACCACCAACGAAGCGATAGCGGTGCGCCTAGTATACCCGACGTCGTCGGAGAGGGCGGATGGACACCGAGAATTGACTGGGAATTCCGCAGCCCGAGACGTTTCCTCAGTTTGAAGAAGAGAAGTATGATAGGTTTGCAGCTTCCGAAGTGAGCGTCAGGCATTGGACCGGATTGATGCGATGTTTTTACAGCGAAGGCGTTTGTGGGGATGGGAAAGGTACTAATACACTGCTGGGCGGCAAAAGCTTTTTCTGGTGTTCATCATACCCATCTGCTTTTTGCGCATATATTGGAAGTTTATACAAGCTTTATGGCCTTTTACTTTTTTCATGTAGCATGTACAATAGCAGTCATTGCATTCTTTTTATCGATACATGAACACTTCCCGTGCGCCACATTATTCGTATTACATTCAAATGCATTCTACCCACAGACTCATCGCTGTACATCGTCGCTTCATCGTTACATCAACAGCAACATCTCACGCGGTAGACCCTGACCCAGACTCACGAATAAATTTAGTCTGACGGCTCCCCTCCCAACAACCCGGTCCCTGTACCTGAATCCCCCAATCCAAAACAAATCAATAGTGCGAAACGAACATGAAGTTGCCTCAGGGAACGTTGGGTCTGCTGTCACCCGTTTCGAGGCGTGAACTAGGGGCCGCGCTAGTGTGTTAGCCCGTGTATGTGGATCGTTTTATGGATTGTTGAACGTCGTTTGCATCGTTGTGTGTTTTGTCTGGGGGTCTGGAGGCCTAAGGATGCAAGAGCTTGAAGGGTTCTTCGGGATGTTAGTGCATCGCGCAGTCGTGGTTGGCAAAGACGGATGAGAAAAGTGTCATAAGATTGCAGGTACTCATCCAGC